CGTGTCTTGCTTCAAAGCACGACCAAAGCAGCACGCGAAGCAAATGATGAGAGCGGCGAACCACACCGGAATCCCCACCACGAGTGCAAACGGTAGCGGGAACCCGATGACGCTGGCCATGACAATCATGAATGCAATCGCGCCGGCGCTAGAGATGATTGGCATTGAGATCGTTTTCATGGAGTTGATCTTCAGACCAGGGACATTGATCCGGAACTGCTCCAAGATCGCGCACGTCATGAGGGCGATCGATACGTAGTCGCGGAACCAGAACAAGTAATTCGCTCTTAATCCTTCTTTAGGTGCAGCCAGAGGGACACAATCTACCAGCGCGACCACGACCAAGCACGGAAAAGGGGACACCACAGCGACCAGCAGGGCCCATAACGTTGAAGTAGTTTGGTGGTACGTAGTCAGGTTCCGGACGCGTTCGACTGAGTAGTTACCACGCAATTCTACTTGGAAGCTGGTGAAGAACCTGAGCAGCCGACGTCCAAACAGACAGGCACCGCGCCAGCGTTTGCGCATGATGGGGACCATGTCCACGGCTCTAGGACAATTTCGAATGATGTCATCGTTTCTCCTTTCGCTTCTATCTTTATCTTCCACGCCTCGTAATCTAAGAGAGTCAAACTGAGGTGGATAATCTCATTTTTTTAGCGTCGGATCAACGAGCATGTCATGGTGACTGAATCGTAGCAGCTACTCTGCGCTAACATCAATTTAAAACAAGCAAAGAAAAACCTATAGCTTGTGAAATGCTGAACGGCACCTATTTCTTCACCCACTTGCCGCTGAAGAGGACAGCAAAAAATTCAAAGTAGAAATCAATAGAAGTAAATATTAGGTTTTTTTGTCGTAAATTAGATCCCTGAACTTCAATTATAATAGTCTTTGTATTCATATTGAAATATAAACTATTTAACATTTTTAATTTCAAACATTGGTTCTAAGACACGTATAAAATAATCTTTTTACCACCAATTAGTTTAAACGCATTTTTATTTAAATATATATTGTTTTCAACTTTTATTAATTGTTCAAAGAAACAGTATGTTGACGAAGTAAATAATGTACCCATATAAATGAAACAGTAGGGTTGACTCAGTTTAAATGCAATTAAATGTATTGGTCTTTGACATAAAATGTTTATAATAGTTTTAGTAAAATAGCATTTCTATATAAAATGAAACATTCCTTGTCAACAAACAAAGAACGCCGATTGAAGTACGTAGCAAAAGTGACGAAAGCAACCTAACGTTAGCGGTTTTCGGGGCGTTGGGTGCCACATGGACTCGTCTTGAAACACAACAACTGAATTCTTGTTCGACTGTAGGATTAAAAAATTCAATGCGTGCGGTGTCCGAGGTCCTTGCTTCAAATCTCTCAGGTAGGTCCAGATAAAATGTACATGTATTGGGTCACCTGCAACGTTTTCGACGACAGCACTGACGCAACCTTTTCCACGTGGTTTTGTGGCTTGCGACAGCAACTACAGTACCTGCGGGCCTCCAAGTCTTGTGTCTTGGGCCAAGACCCCAGCGCGTGCTGTCGCTGTAGTTTTTGTCGTGCTTTGCCTTCCTGTTGCGGGAAACGCCGTATTGACGACGGTGGGCATGTACAGTTTGAGCGGCTCCGGAAGGTGTACGAGAGAGTATCCTGGAGGCTCTATTGGAGATGGTCGCGCAATTCTCTAGAGTTGGGGTCTTCCTCTGCAAGCCCTAGCCAGCCAAACTCTCTCGGAATCGAGATGTGATGAGCTGAGCTCCTGCTTTTAGAGGATACGACCTTGAAGTTGGATCGATTTGAAATGTAGCGGCTAGACGATCGGCAGCGTGTGTAGCGGAGTTCCGTTCAAATCACTCTAAGCATAGGACGCAGCATGTGGATTCGTCGGTCAGTGTTTGATACTGTAGTCGTGGCCTGCGGAGAGTTGCTTCCGTACAGATTAATTAACGGCGCAAGATTAAAATTTACTTACGACAATGCTATGGCCTCTATCTGACGTCAAGCCACTGGTTGGTATCCACAGCATCCTCCGGCGTACATGTATCAGCTCAGTTTCAATTTTGCCTTCAACGCACCAACACCACCTTCATCAACTCTCGCTACAATGAAGATCTTCGCCGCTGCCGCCATCGCCGCCTGCGCTCTCACTGCTACCTCTGTCAACGCCGACGGAGCCGAGGGAGCCAAGTGGGGATACAAGGCCAGCGACACCAGCATGGCTGCACCCAACCAATGGGCCGAGCACTACCCGACGTGCGGCGGTCAGCGCCAGTCGCCCATCGATATCGAGACGACGGAGCTAGACAACGTCTCCGAGAAGCGCTCGCTGACCTTCAGCGGCTCGTGCGCTGACTTCGATGTCTCGCAGTCGGACGAGTCCTTCACGGCCAGCGTGAACGGCGGCTCGTGCGCCGTGAGCGCCAACGGCGCGTCGTACAACATGCTGCAGTTCCACATGCACGTGCCGTCGGAGCACACGTTGAACGGCGAGCACCTGGGCGGCGAGGTGCACTTCGTGCACAGCAACGCGGACGGCTCTGCGCTGCTGGTGACGGGCGTGTTCTTCAAGGCCGTGCAGGGCGCGAGCGACCCGTGGGTGGTCTCCGTGCTGGACGCGCTGGACAAGACGAGCTCGAACGCGACAGCGTCGGCAAGTCTGACGTCGTACGCCGACCTGGTGAACAAGGCCGCGGACGCGCAGGGCGTGTTCAACTACGCCGGCAGCCTGACGACGCCCGCGTGCAGCGAGATCGTGGACTGGTGGGTGGTGAAGAAACCCGTGGACGTGTCGACGGCCGACCTGGAGCGTCTGCAGTCTCAGTTGCGCGAGCTGCACATCACGGACGACGGCAAGAACGCGCGTCCGGTGCAGCCGCTGAACGGCCGTGTCGTGACGGCGTTGCTGTAGAGTTGTAGCACGTTCGTGTTTGACAATTAAATATAAATGCTGATACACTCCACGACAAAAAGATATGGACACCACCAAAAGTGGCTGTAACTTCGTCAATTTTTTATCGTTTTAAGGTGCGGTTTGGACTAGAGTTGCAAAACACGCTGATAAAGATCTGCACGTTGCTAACACGCGCGCTTTTGCGCTTCTTCAGGTAGCTCACATACAAATCACTGGTTCTGCCCAGTTGACAAAACTTACACAGCTAATCCCCATACAAAATCCTATATTAACCAAAACCCCTTACAAATGATACGACTTAGACTTTGTATGGGGCGACAAAGGAACCCATGATTTCTCCACTCTACCTTAGTACTGAGCCATATATCGTCGACCAACAGTTTAGAATGGAGAAGACAATCGTATATCCAAGAGATAGCAGCATACAAATTGGCACTAACTAGGATGCAACTGAACGTGCCTCGCAAATCATCAGATAATACATGGTAGTCACCACTCGAAATTTCAATCGCTTACTACTTGCTCAGTTTTGTGCGATGGTCGATGTATTTATTACAGGTTACTAAACACACCTTCTAGTACACGATAATGCCATCAGAT